CGTTTGCCTTAGTGAGCCTTAGTGCTGTAAAGAAGAAAGGGCGGTGTAAACCAAGGCCTTTGCAGTTGCCAGTTTTCAGCCAATGGGCATCTTCAGGCTGCATTGATGCATGCTTCTCAGAGACCTTGTGACTAGATGCAGCCCGTGAATGGTCCTCGGGTCCTTAGACGAGGATGAAGGGTCTTCAATAGTCAGCACGTATCGCCGAAGTGCCACTGCGACTTGGGGTTCTCCAGGTCCTAGGAATCTAAGGCGCGCTGTTTGGCACGAGTTTGCCAAGGATTCTTGCGAATGCCTCTCTGGCTCATGGTCATCTGGTGCTGACAAGCAGGTAGGATTCACGCACTGTTGCGGTACCCGGGCACGGCAATTAATCCCGACCTCACAAGCCCTGCCCAAGATAGTTTGCAATTGATGTCGGCGAGTATGGGGTTGAGTTGGTTAATGCAAGAATTAGGCTGAGCTTATTGCAACCCGTGGTTGTTTTGTCACCTGACCCAGTGTCCTGTGTCTGTGAGAGTGCGTGTGGAAGCGGAATCCTCGGGCCAGACATCTTCAAGCGACCGCTACCCTTCACCGTACGGTTTTATATCCCGAACCCACAACTTTTTTACTGCACTGTTGAGAAGCCGTCTAGAGTCTACAGGTCACACCACAACCAACTCCAATCGGTCCGGGCCGTCAGTTTGCGATTTGGGGTAATAGTTGAAGCTCAAAGTAGAATGTTGGCATGGTTGAAAGTACTTCTCAAGGAGCAGAAGAGCCAACATCCGTTTTAAGGTGTTGATGCAGCTCGCATTGAACCGCACAGAAATGTCGGCAACCAAGACAAAAACCAATGACACATTCAGTCATGTGTGCTGTAACATTTCCACCTACAGACAAGATGCCTGCATTCTGCATGCCCCAGCATGCAAACGATACTCATGTTTACGCCCAGACGTGTGCAAACACATATTCAGCCATGTATCCCTCTACCTGCCTACCGTCGCTTACGTACGTGCAGTATGTACGTACTCACGACATACATACATGCACACGCACGCACACATATACACACGCAGACACACACTACGCATTACATGCATGTGCAGGTACGCATACGTACATACAGTACGTACATATATATATATATATATATATATATATATATATATACATATGTACATACATACATACATACATGCATACATACATACATACATGATTACATACATACACATACATATCCATATGCCTATACATTTAATGTACATCCCGATCCACGCTATTCCATGGCCTTGCCTTGCCTTGCATACATAGACACATACACACTTACATAGATACATGCACGCATGCGTATGCCCAATTACACAGACACATACCCACATCATTTTAACATCTGTGCGCACATGCCTTGTTCATACAAGCAGTTAAGCTAGTGATATGTCTGCTTGCATGCGGCCGTACATATGTGCGTGCATGCATAGGCACGTGCTGGCACGTATGCACACATACGTGCCTACCTACCTACCTACCTATACCTACGTACTGCCAACCTACCTGCTCACGCGTAAGGTACCGCAGCGGTTTTCGGAAGCCAGGTGTATGTGCAATGGGCTCTTAACCCACGCCTGCCAGCAACAGTCAAGACAGTGCATATATGCCTGTGAAGCTGACCTTCAGGGACCACATAGCCTAGAAACTTAGGGTGTCGTTTTTGCCATACATGGCTTCTGAATGTCATTCTCAGCGGCATATCTGCACTGTCTTGGTTTTTGGCTGCAGCATGGGCCCCCCACCGACTCCACACCGCATCCCCCTTCCAAGAGTAAAGTCCTGGTTTTGAAGCGAACAGAATCCAAGCCGAAACCCTCCAAATCGGAAAACATGCAGAAACGCGCGCGCGCGGTACCTTAGGTGCGTGTGTGGACCTACCTACATACAAACAAACCTATGCATGTGCTCACATTCCCGCACGCACATGAATCCATCCGCCCGTCTGTCCGCCCATGCATGAGTGCATACATGAGCATCTGCATATTAATTACACGGTTTGAGCATGCGCAAAAACGCACCTTGAGTGCACAAATGCATCTAATTTGCAGTTGGTGATTCTCCATAGTTTTGAGGAAGCCGAGCACTTCTAGACCTTAACGGAGGTTGCAGATGCCGCTCTGCTTGGCTCGGCGACGGTGGGGCTGCCAGAACTGCAGTCAAACCGAGCGGTTGCCACTAATAGAGTGGCTGCTACCCCAACAGCAACAATTCTTGTTGGTGCGATTCTGCCACTGCAGCCATTGCCAGTGCCCAGCTTCCTGCTGCTGTGATTCGCTAGCTGCTGTTCGCTGCGTTGCTGCTCTTCTTGGCCGTGCATTCGGGTTCTAGCGATCACGAACTTGGCTTTTGTGCGGCCGTTCGAGGTCTAATCTAGGGCTTCGGGTGCTTGTGAAACGAATGCGAATATTTTTGTAGGGTTAGTAGCGAAAGTTGCAAGCTTGTTGGGAGCAGTTGTTTTGAAGAGTCTAACGAGTATTTGGTTCTCGCGAAGAAGGAGGTGACATGCACCCGATTCTCGGTTTTGTCGCGGTGGTCAGGGGGTTTGCACTGACGGCTCCCGCTAGCACTTGTTACTTTCGTCTGCGTCACATCAGTGATTGAGTGATTGTCTTGTGGAAGCTCCGTAACTAAGTCGAGGAGCTAAGTTACGGCACATTATTGGCCGATGACGTGTTCCGGACCATCTCTTTGGTAGCCTTGGTGCAACGATGCCAGATATTTTGAGAAAACCCAACTCCAAATCTCGCAGCTGCACAAGGATGTGAAAGGCCTTCGGCAAGCAACCGGCCCTGCTAGGCTTCTGCGACGACTACTGCAACATTGAGGTACGAACCGTGGAGCTTGCTTTCCTGCCATCAGTGAAGGCTATGGCAGTTTTAAGTCAGATTTCTTTGTTGAGTCAAAAACCGACGCCTGCTGCCTGACCAAAATAAGAATCGTTTAGAGAAGCGGCTGAACCCTAAACAACTCGAGAGTCGTCGTTTGCTTGTTAACTTGGAGCACCCGAGATGTCCCATGCGAGCTACTTCGCGGGAAGCGCAGCAGCCTGTTACCCACAAGCCGCTTACGCCGGACACCGTGGTTTCTGTAACTGCTCGGCAGGAGCATTACTAGCACAACGACTTCGTAGTTCTTCCTATGATTGCGTGCAGTAGTAGTAGCACGGTGGTAGTAGTAGTCGTTGTCATCGTCGTGGTCGCGGCCGCGGCCGCTGTAGTGGGCGTGGTCAGTGGTCGGTGGTCAGTGGTTAGTGGCAGTGGGAGTGGGAGTGGTAGTGGTAGTTGTAGCAGCAGTGGTAGTAGTTGTACGAGCAGCAGCAGTAGCAGCAGCAGGGGTTCTGCAGAGAAGGAAGATCAGAGTAAGCAGTGGTAGATGGAACTCCGGTTTTGAGTCCAAGCGCTTCAAGGGACTCTGAGTACTTTCAGGGTGGCAGAAGTTTGGGACTTTGCTGCGCCTCCTCGAAGCCTCAATCCTACAGTATGAACACAGGAAACCCCGAAAACTGAAGCGCTCTGTGTCTCTCGCTCTCTGCTCTCACTCTCTCTCTCTCTCTCTCTTTTTTTTTCCTCTCTCTCTCTCTCTCTCTCTGTTTGTCTGTCTTTGTCTGGACCCGACAGCGAACGAGCGCAAATCCTAACGCCAGCCAAAGCACAAAACCACAACAGTCCTACGTTCCAACGTGAGTAGGTTTGCGAGTGGGACCGCGGTGACTGCGGCCGGGATGCTGGGGCAGACTTTCTGGGCTCAGTATGGGCTTAAGGGTTTTGTATGAGGACTGAAAGGCTTGGTTTGGGTTTCTCTTGAACTTACGTGCGCGGGCGCATTGTACTGAGGATACTACTCTTGGGGATATCAGTTAGGGCCCTGTATTCTCTGAAACTCCGTTTCTGGATTTGGGGTTCAAGGGCTTAGGGCTGAAAGGTTTGAGGGATGGGAGCTTTCGCGTTTAAGGGCTCAAGATTTCACAAAAACCAGAGGTTTAGGAGCCTTCACAGCCCCGACCCCATACAAATGCTTGCGCGTCCCTTGTTCCTTCGCGAACGAGTCTTCACTCTGGCCCGTGTCACTCCACACCAGAACAACAGCTCTCTTAGTCTTGAAATTGGCGTAGGAATGAAGGAAGCAACACAACGCCTTGGTTACAACTTCAGCTTGAAGACGTGTCGGAAATTTCGCTCGGTTGCAGGCAAGGCAAACCATGAATGAAACCCTTAAGCCCGCCGCCCAGGCACTCCGACTGGCGCGGGGCATGGGCCCAAGGGGCTCCCGCAACCACCAGAGCACACGATGTCTTACACCAGGGGCCTGAACTCCTAATCCCGATTATAGTGCAGTCATGGTCCCAGAGCCTCACTGCCCTGCGAAGGCCAGAGTCTCAAGTGGATGTCTTCTCCTCATGGAAAAGTCAACTCGGCCCGAGCATCCCGGAACTCCGAGACCGTCAATGAACCGGATGCCTCTTGAGAGGAGTCTCCAAGACAAGGCTGTTTTGCAAAAAACGTGCATACCCCCAAACCTGTAGCACTTGTTCTGTTGGGCAGCCTGGCAAACCACAAAAACTCGGGAATTGAAACTGGTAGAGCCCCGAGTGGAAGCACCCAAGAATAGCCGGCTTTGCGAACGGTAAGTCTTGCATGTGTTTCCCAAGTCAACGCACACACACATACATATATATATATATATAAAGATATACATGTGCGCATTTATTCATGTGACTAGGTATTCAGGTGTATCCACATACACACCCTTTTTGATATACAGATGTGTGTTCATGCGCATGCATATGCTATACAATCAACGTATTATCATTTTTGGTCATGTGTGCACACACACATGCACACACATACATGCATAACTACACACTGAATACCTAATTGCGTTTCGTATGTATATGAAGACACCAAGTCCGTAACAGCTTAGTTAAATGTAGTCCGGCAAACCCTGCACGATGAGCTTCGGCCATGGAGTCCGGACCGAGGCCAGACTAGTTGCTAGTTGTGTTAGGGGATTGGGGGGAGGGTATAGGATTGGTGCAGGGGGAGTTTAGAGATGGTAGGGTGAATCAGCAGAAAGACGTGCAAGGCGGATGGGGTTTGTTAGGCGTCAATCGTACACCGATTGTCTAGAACCTTGTGGACTTGAACCTTGCATAGGCGGCACACAGAAACCGATGAAGATGCCCCCTTGACAACCTTCAGCAATCCAAACGTGCGATATGCGAACCAAGCAAGCGGACTCCAAACCTGGACACCCGCCACGTTAAAGTCCTGCTAACCTAATAATGCTTAATTGGTTCGAACCCAAACATCCTCGCCAAAACCAATTCAAGACGCTGTGCGTGCTGAGAATACTTGAGTATGCATGTTGAATTGGGAATTTGGAATTTGAACGGCATTTTGCTGTCTGTATGCAACTAAATGATGGCATCTTGTATCTCGAGTGCACTGGATGCTTGAACATATGCTTCATGGAGAACATGGAACTTTGAAGTGGACCTTACTCGAAGCAGAGCGAGGTTGATGCATGCGTGACTGGCTATTGCATACCCAGTCGAACTTTCCTGTTCGAAAGGGGAATGTGAATTCACGGCTATGTGACATATCTCCCTGCTTCGCGTACAAGGCCATGCAGGAGGTAAAAAAAACCTTAAGCCGTGCAGGCCTGCTACTGCAGAGGTGTCCGAGGAGGCGCTTCGACACATATTTCCTGCGTGCTCTACTGCGTGGCTGGCGGTTGTCGTCGCGGTGCTCGTCGTGGTCGTGGTTGTCGTTGTTTTTGTTGTGGTGGTTGTGGTTGTTGTGGTTGTTGTGGTGGTCGTGGTCGTGGTATGTCGTGGTCGTGGTCGTTGTGATTGTTGATGGTGGTGGTGTTGGCGTTGTCGTTGTTGTCGCTGTTGTTGTTGTTGTTGCTGTTGCTGGTGTTGCTGCTGTTGTTGTCGTTGTTGTTGGTACAGACAAAAACAGCAGCCCGTACTTGTTGTTAATTAGAAGCAATTGGGAATGCTTCCGGCGACCGCATAGGGTGCCTGTAGAGTTTTGGGAAGTGCAAGCCATGGTTTACACAGCAACTGCCCCATGATAGAAATGCGGTGGTAGGCTGGGTGGTTGTTGTAAAAGGGGGGGGTCAAAACAACAGACGGGGCTCCAGTTTTTGCCTCTACTAGAGGGGGTAGATACAAAGGCACCATTGAAATCAGGACTTTGTCTCTACCCCCTGTGCCTGTGGTAGAGGCAAAGATTGGAGCCCCGTCTGTTGTTTGACCCCCCCCCTTTACAACAACCGCCCACATTACACCACATTTCCACCACAGGTATAGGAATCTGCGAAATCCAGAAGGGGTTCTGATGGGTGTTGGAAGGGCTTGTCTGGAATTTTGAAGGGTTTGCCTTGGATACCCGTACACGCAAAACTATAGTTAACAACAATTACTATGTACAGGCCTCGCAAATGCATAGTCTGCACAGCGGGGATGTTCGAAGTGAACATAATTGTAGTATTTGGAAGGGATGTAGAAAGATCTCAATGCTTTGGACAGTACATACCTGTAGAAAGCGTTAGCCTAAGCCCTAAACTTAACCCCACAAGCCTGAACTCCGAACTCCTAACACCCTGTAAGCCCAGGAAAGATCAAGCCTTTATCCTTTAACCCGAAGCCCTGCACGCTGAAACTGTTCCGTAGAAGGCTAAGGCCCTTGGGACATGACAGCGCCAGAAACTAGCCAGTGAGGGTTAGGTCCTAGGTAAACCCTAAACCCTTTCTTATTTCATTGGGCCATCGCCCAACAAAACCTATTCGAGTTATTGAGGCCCCTACATCATCGAACCCTTAGAGTAACCGTTATAGTGACCCTTCAAAGGAACTCTTCTGAACTTCAGGAACCTTCTGGAACCCTTGAAAGGAACCCTCTCATAATTAGGTTTGCCCGAATACACACCAAATCCAGTGAAATACACACCAAATGCATTGAAATGCGCGTTAAACCCACTGAAATACACATTAAATCCACTGAAATACGCACCAAATCCATTGAAATACACACCAAACCCATTGAAATACACACCGAATCCATTGCAAATACACACCAAAATCATTGAAATAGCACACCAAACCCAGTGAAATACACACCAAATACACTCCAAATCCATTGACATACACACCAAACCCATTGAACATACACATCAACTCCATTGAAATACACACCAACCCCATTGAAATACACACCAAAGCCATTGAAATACACACCAACTCCACTGAAATACACACCAAATGCACTGAAATACAGACGAAATCCATTGACAGTACACACCAAATCCACTGAAGTACAGACGAAATCCATTGAAAATACACACCAAATCCACTGAAATACAGACGATATCCATTGAACATACACACCAAACACTATACATCACAGGCATCCACAGGCACTGTTGTTGTTGTTGTTGTTGTTGTTGTTGAGGGGGGTAAAACAACATGACGGGGCTCGTGCTTTTGTCTCTACCTAATGTACAGACAAAAAGGCAGATATATGATCCCGGTTCGGCCGGCGCCCCCCCCCTCCCCCCCCCAATGGTTCATCCTCCCACCCCTGTGGTGTGGTGTGGTTGTGGGTTGCTTCCCCCTCCCTGTGGTGTGGTGTGGTGTGGTGTGGTTCGGGAGTGGGTCTGCTTAGGCTGGTTACCCCACTCCCCCCTGTGGTGTGGTGTGGTTTGGGTTTCCTGCGTGGGTCTGCTTGGCGTGTGAGCCCTCGTGTGGAAAAAGCTTGCACAGTCACACACAGATTCGGCTTGGGGAGCGTGGGGGGGGGGGGGGGGGGGGTCGGTGAACCGAGAACCGGGATCATATATGGGTTGACGGGGCTGCCGTTTTTGTTTGTACCTCACTGTTGTTGTTGTCGTTGGGCTTGCTGTTCTGGTTGTGGTGTATGTACTGCCCCCACAGGCCACTTTGACGGTGGTTGTCTTGGTGAGTGGTGCTTCTAGTTGTCGTGATGATGGTCTTGGCCCTGTTGGCAGAGATGTTGGCAGTGGGCGGTGTTGCGACCCAGACACAGAAAACTGGCCAGGAGGAGGAAGATCTCGAAGACGAGGGGCAGGCCGATGAAGGACGTTGCTGGCGAGTTTTACCTTCATGCGGTTGACTGTCTTTCTGAGGGCTACGTGAGCTCACCGAAGCTGGCATGTCGAGCTTCCGGCAGCAGAGTCGGACGGAAATCAGCAAGACTAAGTGTAGAGTCAGTGTGGAGTTCATGATTCAATAAGGTGGTGTGAAGGAAGATGGGATGGGGGGCGGGGGCATCCCACATTTCAAAAAGGGCCCGGGCTTCCAGACCACGATTCCGGTACCAGATTTTGCCCTGAGCCCCACATGCCTACACTGGTCCATATGCCTGAGGCATCTGAGCCCTTAATCCCAAACCTGCTGTCCCCCCCCTGTTTCGAGACGACCAGATGCCATTGCAGATCTTCACTTCGGATAGGAGATGATGCGCCCCCAGAGAGCTGGGAGGAGCGAGAGGAGGAGCTGTGCTGGGCTGCTGCCGTGGATGCAGGGCCTCTTGCAGGAGTTTTCCTAGACTGAGAAAGGTGTGGTGAGAAGTGGCTAGCTTGAGGTGATGTCCAGTTGCAACTGACTCTCGCCCTACCGAGCCCTACTGTGTAAAAAGCCCACTTCGAGCTACAGCTACCGACGCATGCCAACCACCCCTAACCTCTACCCATCTTCTACCCTACAGAAAGCGAGACCTCGAAGCCACCAACATCTCTACCGTACTGGCAGCACCAACCGAAAATGGGTAATACTTGCATCTTGTACAGGAAGGCTTTTGAACTGGCTCCACATGCCTGTCCTAAATGACCGACCCCAAATCTCATCACTGAAGCGGAAGCTTATCTTGTACCACACACTCCCTTTCGCCTGAAAGCCGCAGGAATGCATAAGTGGCGGAGCTAAGCTGAAGCTGTCAGAAGCGCAGTCGCCGGCCGTTTCGGCCCCTAGCCGCCCTGAGGGAAGGGCGCCCGGGTAGCCTCTTCTTTTTACGACAGCCTGGCCCGCCCTCCGTGCAGGCACGACATATGACGATGATGCTCATTATGGTGATGGACACGATGATTCATTCTGCTCTGATGGCGCTTTTGGTGCTCAGAAGAAGAGGATCATAATGTTGACGTTGAGATCATGATTCTCATTGTGATCCAGAGAATGCATTCGGGTGACAATGATGATGGCAGCAATGGGAGTAGTCGCCGCGTGTGTGTGTGTGTGTGTGTGTGTCTGTGTGTGTGTGTGTGTGTGTTTGTGTGTGTCTGTGTGTGAGAGTCTGCGAGCTGTCTTGAGGCTCACAGTACGTGCCTAAGAGCACAACACCGGTCTCACCTACACGCGTCTTGCCGCGAGGTGAGCGAAATGTCGGTTCAGGAGGCAAACGGAGCGCTGGAGCTAGCGTGCGGAGCTCAGGGCAGATTCGTCGATATGGGGGTTTCTGCAAGAAGGCTCCTTTTCGGGGGGCCTTCACACTGAGGATCCTACCGGGTTTCGTTGGGCGTATCATCTCTGAAACTCTGAAACTGCTGCTCCCTGTCTTTATCCTAGCTTCGCGTATCCAGGGTTGGTTTAGTCGAGATTGAAGTCATGGTTGACCCGGAGAGGTTAGCGTGGAGAGTCTGGAACAACTGCAGAAAGACCTCTTTTGCGCTAGCCGTGGTTTCGGGTGGTAGAGACACTGACCAACCAAGGTCTTGTCTAGCTCAAACCCCGAACTCCCTACAAGGGACTTCCATGATCCTGCATAGGGATGATGCCACAGAAAAATTCAGCTGACACCTTTTTGCCTTCAGCCCTATGCGAGGATCTCCCCAGAAGGTGGAAAACAACTGCTTCAAACGAACATGAGAAGTCCTTCCGATCCGGCGTGCTGTCAGGTTCAACGGCCTTGCAGACTATTACAGATGCTTGGCCCTGGAAATGGATCCTACACACCGACACACCCCCGCACACGCCGTAGTCGTTCGAGACCGTCAGCTCTGTCATGTCGGGCCCCGCCGATGATCACTGGTAGCTGCGGCTGGTTCGGACGGCTTGAGGAATGGAATACTCATTACTAATGCAACTAGCAGTATCGTCCGACATGCCCACGAAAGCACAAATAACAACTCTGAAGCCAGCAGACTTCTATACCCCAGATGAAGACACCACTGAAAAGGGGGAGCGCCTTCTCTAAGGCGAGCTGGCAGCGAATCCAAAGGCTGCCCCCAAAGAGAAGGAAGGCTGTTTGGCTTTTGTCGCGGCGGAAGGGAGGCTAGACAAGGAGGACAGACACCCGGCGTCTTCGGGTTACGGTTCAGGCTTCAGGATCTGGAGTTTATTTGGGCAGTCGAGTTTCAGGCTGCCGGGAGCCCATTTTTGAGGTGCAGAAGGACATGACCGCTGGTGTCAAGAAGAGCTGCCAACTTTTGGAGCACTTGCCTGGGAAGATCCCAGACCGAGAACACCCTCAAGCCTAGAACCGAAAAGCCGAAGCGGCGTTGGAAGGATGTCGACGGATGCATGACTCACTCCAAAGAAGCCTTGGAGAAGTTCAAGGTCGGTCAAGCTGTCGAGTGTGCAGTGGGCTTTTGCAGTCCGCGGGTTCGCTTCGGGAGTTAGTTCACGGAAAAGTCCCAAACCCTGGCTGTGCCAAGTTCTGCGAGCATAAACCCCTAAACTTTACTAAACTTTAGGTGTGGGCTATAATTATGATTACCCTAACCAGAACCCACTTATAACTACCCGGTTACTGCTCAGGGGGTGCATGTCTCGTTCTCAAGTCTCGCGTGGCGGTTTGGGGGCTCAGAGCCGAAGCGTCGAAACCGAAGATCGTGAACTATTCAAACTCACTCAAGTCACTAAGTTGCTTGACTGCTCTTGATCCCCTTTTTGATGGAAAGCCATGGACAAATTGCGGTTGTCGGATTCAGGGGTTATGTTTTTTAGGGTTGGGGCTCAGTAAAGAAAAGGGTTCAAGACTGCACAGAGGTCTGGATGCAAAATGGTTGAAGGCTTGGGGTGTATGCTTCAAGCGGAGGTTGCGGTGCTACGCAAGCTGACAACTTGGAACTCTTTCGAGCCCGCCCGGTTCGACACTGTGTTGGGTCCGGTAGACACATCAGAACAGCAATATTGAGCAACCGTTGCTTCTGGAGTCTAGAGGTGATAGACACCCGCCTACAGACACGGTCATTGCTTTCCCTATTATCTTCCTGTTTGCTTGTTCGCGAACGAAAGGAAACAATGCTCGGAAGCCGCCTCAACGTGGCACTTGCCATGGTCAGGCCTGCAAACATCCGACCGGTGTCGCTGATACTTTGAGCACCTGGGCCGACCTAAGACGGGCTCACATTCTGGCCTTGGGTAGGGCTCCGGAGTGTGATGCTCTTTGTTCCCGTCTGTCTTGCAAAAGTTCTTGCCATTGAAAATCCAAGAAATCTTGCAGTGATGTCAGATGGACCCTTTACACATGCAAGTTGCCACGGGGAGGGAATTGTATCAGAGAACTCCCTGGCTGCTAAACCTCTCCCGCCGGTAAACGCCCCGAAGTCGTGTCGGGGCCTAGCCTGCATGGTCCAGTTCGAAGCATTCATCCCCTAGCCTCACCTGCCGTCAGCCAAGGAATGATGGTCTTAGCGTATCGCATTCAAGCAGATGTGCTGCGGAGTGCGGAGGAAGACAAGACCAAAGATATCAAGGTGCCTACTTTGACTTGATAAGGAATTTGGTAGTCGCTCTTGTCGGCTTGAACTGATGGTGTTGATTGTGGCCTTGGGCGCGGGGCGACCGGTTGTCGTGCTGGTGCTGCTGGCACTGCTGCTTTTTGTGCCTTTTCGTGGTGGTGATGGCTAGTGATTTCAGTACAGTCGCCAGCCATCGTAGCAACACAATAGCTTGAAAGATCATGAATGCAATGGTGCTGAACATGGCGAAAGCATTCAGGAAGACGGCAAGACCAACAACACTCACAGCCACGTCCGTGATGAGAACTCAGTTTATGCATTCGCCTGTTCGTAGGTGACACTCGAATACTGTTACTACTGCGACTAGTATGACGAGTACTTTCGGCAGAGTCTACGAGTACAGACGGAGCCACCGGTGGCCCTCGGCACAGGCGGCTCTTAGCACTGCCGAGTCTTTGGCTAAAGAAGAGGCAGCAAAGTTCAAGGAGGCGGGGTCCTTTCTTTTGCTTCGGCGGGCTTGGGGTTTGTGCATAGCATCGAGCAATGTTGAGGCTTTGGAGTTTCGGGATGTTGGGTTTAAAGGGAACTCCAGAAAGTTGGAATATGGATTAATGGTAGGATCCCCTATAATTTACCTTAAAGGGGTTGCCATAATGATATTCCAACCTTCTCGCTTTTACCTTAGGGCTTCGGGTTCAGCGGGTCAAGCTCCCGGCAGTCGAAGCCGGGTCAGACCTAGGACCTGGGCGGCCCAATGCCAATTTTGCCCAGTTTGATGCGCAGTCCCCTGTGCGTGGTGCTTTTTCTTGATTCGTGTAGCTGAAGGGTCCGCAAGGGTCGTGTAGCCCAACCATACGAAGCCGATAGAGATTATAGGATGCTCCTTTGAATTATCACCCTTGCCTTGTTTGGGAAGCGGCAGCATCCGGATGATAACGATGTCGAAACAGGGTTCCTGGCTCTCTAACCGCCAGGCCGGTGATAAGCGCGGCGAGGCGGTGATGCCTCTGGGTTGCTGATGGAAAGGGTCATTTCACAATCAACCTTTGGAACAGTCCTTTTACACCCGGGTTTGGGAAGAGTCATCGTAGCAAGCAGCGTCTCAGGACTGATGGCTTGTCGGGTCCTTGCAACCCTTCACTTTCAGTGCTGCTCAAGGCTTGCATCCCAACGACTCAGGCTTCTGGCCGCTGGCGAGATCAACTACAACAAGCGAGGCTTCGTTAGTGCTTGGGGCTTTTTAGGATTTGCAGTGCGGGTGCGATTGACGATGCTCGGATAAGCGCTAACATCCGAGCCTGGCCCCAATGTTGAGGGTGTGGGGGACAGTCGTGCGATGGCAACCTAGATCCCGAACCCTGAGGCCCAAATCCTAAACCTTCTCAGAGGAAAGCCAAAGCCAAACACATTTCTGCGCCCAGCGCCCGAAGCCCGCTATTGCCCCAGCCCCCGACCCATGCATCTTACAGTGTGCGCAGGAGGATTTAGGGTTTTCGAGGTTTAGGGCCTCCATTGATTGCTTGAGCTTCACTCCGCGACAGCTTGCGCAGGTGGCAAAAAGCGTGGCGAAGCCATCGAGGAGCTCCCATTCGGGTCACGGTCTTGAATCCTGACTCGGAGTCCCTATAAATATTCCGCACCTTATTTCGATGAACGTTGAGCTCTCAGGTTTGCCTGGGGTCTGATAACCTGGAAGTGACACCCCTAAAGTCTTATTATAGCTCCCACGGAGCGAAGCTTGAAATCCAAGGCTTTAGCTTAAAGGGCCCAGCTCTCGTCGCACAACGCCCTGCGCCACAACTCATGGTTCGA